CGCATGCAAGACACGCACCTGGGAAACCTAGGGTCGTCATCATTACACCCTATCCCTAGGCCATCATTGTGTCGCTTCGCCAGCACGCTTCCCAAAACATGCTACCTCTCTAAATTCAAAATTCCTAACGACCAACGCCTCGTCTCCCCGCAAGCAAGGCACAATAAGCATATGTTAAAGTCATCGCTCATGTGCCCAGAAGCAGCGACTTGGGGGGCTATTATTCTGGATTGGCCTGACAGCTTGACTGGGTCCAGTATAAGACATCTCCCTTGGTACGACCTGTACGATCGTGACCCAGATTGCCCGCTACCTATCGAGCATGTCGATCGTTCACCCTCCTGAACCAGCACTGGCCCAGGACGACTGACGAGTATCCTCTCAACCTGCCTGACATCACGTCATGCAGGCCACCAGGAATTTATCAGAGAGATGCTCGTAACTAACCCCCTCCTTGGGACCAACGGCTAGTTACGAGCACATCTGCCCGATTTGACCAAGTCTTAGCAGTTACCTGATTTCACGGATCTGAATATCTAGGCGTGAAATCAGGAACCAATGGTCACGCGCCAAGGGCATTATATAAACTCTCACACATGTGTGGTTCAAGTATCCATTTTCACCACTCACTACCTAAGACTTTGCTTGTACCTTCTTGTTCCCTCTCTTACTTGATCATCAGAGTGCCATGCAGGTACAACCCCTTTTTTTCTCCTCGACTTCACATGCCGACTATAGATCATCTTCCGGCCACTTCTCAGATTCTGATCAACCGGTAAGATAAAAAATGTTCGATGGTGACTTAATTGATGTTTTCTCGATGATTTTAAGCCGGTTGTTTCATCTACTCTCTTATATCTTTTTCACCTTCTCATTTTTATGCAAATGTTTCCCATTTCAATTTTATTTTATAGCATATTTTCTTCTCTAATCTCTCCTCTCTTCTGTTCTTTTTTTTCATCTTCACTAATCTCTCATCTCTTCTATTTTTTTGTTTAATTATAATATTTTTGATATTGTTTTATGCTATTATTTTATATTTATTATTCCACTTTTGTCTAATATAATTTTTACATATTAAATGGAAAGTTGTTGTCAAAATATTTATAAAAAACCGAACCAATTGAACATAACCAAACCATATTGCTTTGGTTTGGTTTAATTTTTTTTCTAAAAACCAACCAAACCAAACCAAATCGTACGTTTTTCTCTTGCGGTTCAGATGATTTTTATCGTTAAAACCGCCAAATTGCATCGCGAACACCCATATTCCATCCTATTTTCAAATTTTAAACTTTTGTAGTCGAAAACAATGTCTAAATCAAATCTCAAATTCACTAAGTCCCGAAACATTAATGTACATGCAGGAACTTCAATATATTTCTTCAAACTTGTTTGTTGAAACAAGTCTTAGTAAGCTTGTCGAAAACATCTAATAATTCCAAACTCATCTCAATTCTTTCTTGATTGCCTTGAAAAAGAAAGACATGTCACAAAAAATCATCTAACACACACCAAAACAAAAATTATGATGGGGTAAGATTTTGAATCAGGAACCTTTGTGATTCGAATAAAGTGTCTCAAGTTTTATGAAAGTCATGCTCTGATTTGAATTAAATAGAAGTGCGATTCGAATCATACTTCCAAAGGCTAATTTCAAATAAAATGAGGAGATCTTGATTTATGTCACGGGTCTTTGTGATTCGAATCACAGACCAAAAAATTAAAATTTTAAAAAAGATTTATTTTTAATGCATGAAAAATAGTTTTATGAGATGCAAAAATGATACATAAAGTTTTTAAATTTTAAATGAAAAAAGATTAATGTCAAATGAAAATAACTTTAATGATGCACATATTAATGGAAAATGCTGTGCACAAATGAATAAAAATTAGCATGATGCATGATGAGTTCAGATAAATGAGTTATCCAGACACATCTAACACACACTATGAAGCGCGGACAAGCCATTTATAAGGCGTGTTGGCGTGTCAGACACGTGTCCGATACGGGTACTCGTACGACACGTACTTGACACATTTTTGAAGTGTATAACAGAAAAAAATTGAATCGAAACAGACACGGATACAACACTTTATTTTAAATATAGGACACGGATCAACAAAAAATTCAGATTTTTTTTATATAAAAAAAGTCTAACTCAAAAATAGGATTCTTTACATTTTATATTTTACTCTTTCTCTATAAAATCAACACAATTACACAATTAGTTACAAAATTAGGATCTTTGTTTTATCTTTGTCGTTATTGTTCGGTCTCCACTCTCCTAAGGTTTTTTTTTATCTTCTCCTTCCTTCTTATATTATGAATTTTTATTGATTAATGCTATATACAATTTCTAATAAACTATTTAATATAAATATGTGTGTATTTTCAGTCTCCACTTTGTGTGTGTATTTTCCTCCACAACATCACCACTCTATCAACGTGTCTCTAGACTAATTCGGACCATCCACTTTCACGGTATCACCATTTGATATTCCTTTAAGCTTTATGTATTTTTCTTCCGTATGATATTTGTATCATTTTGTTTTGGTGGACTTATGTCTTTCTTTATTGATTGAAAGTAATAAGTTTAAATAAACAAAAATATGTGCTTCTCATTTTGAAATCTTTATAAACTCTGCTCATAAATTGTATTATTATATTAATATATATAGTCGTATCTGTATCCTATGTTTTTTATATTAGCAGAGTCCTCGTGTCTGTGTCCGTATCGTGTCCCGTGTCTGTGTCCGAGTCCGAGTTTTATAGAATACACACCATACTTCAAGCAAACAACACGCCAAGCACAAATGAAACATGTAATTAGGTATATAAAAGAATAATAATGGAGATTGGAACAATCATACCAATTTTGACGATCTAGGCTTAAACTTGTTGCACACAAAACGATTTGTAAGCGACAACAGTAATAACAAAAGCAAATCACGATCATAATAAATAAATGGATACGGTTCCCTTTGCATGTCTGGAAAACACCGTCAGATACTCCTTCATAAGATATCAGATGAACTTAAACAACATATATTCTGATTATCCTTGATCTTCATAGAAATAATAAGCAAATGATTAGCTAGTTCATTGTTATAACTTGTATCTTGATAATCGAGGATAACTGATTCAATACTTTGACATTAATATGTCTCTTTTAAAACTTGATGCTTTGAACTTCTTAGATACTTATTCAACAATCAATAGTAACAACAAATAGAGCTCTACAGTTCGCACGAAATTTTCTAATCTCATATTTTTTTCAAACTAGTAAAATATGGGAGGAGAAAGGGCTGGTACTGAGAACTATAGTTCATTCTTGTAACATTTAAAAAAAATGAAATTTTATACTATATAAGACAAGGTAAATGATCCAATAAAATATAAAGAAAAGTGATCAAATAATATAAGATGTATCATAAGATACCACAAAAAGAACATAAAAAAACAAAAGAAAAATCTATAAAATCAACAATGAAACAAAACACCAACACCATGTCAACGTCAGAGCACAAATCAATCCTAAAAAAACTCAAACATAAAAAAGACACTCCACCATTAACAAATGAGAGAAAATAACCATGACTTATATTTGTGAATGATGTATTAGTTAAGTTTGATATTAATGAGAAAATAAATATGTTATTAGTGCAACAGAAGAGATATTGCACTAGCAGCATATACCATGCTCTTTAGGAGACAGATCTGAAAGTTGATTGGAAGACTCTTATGTTTGGAAACCTAGCTAGGTCTCGAGCGGTGCATACGTTATGGATGGCGTGTCATAAGAGGCTTCCTACAAAAGAGAGATTAGTGAAATTTAGTATGATAAAGAATGATTGGTGCAACATGTGCAATGACAATGATAGCTTGGAGCATCTGTTTTTCTGTGTGCAGGTTTGAGGAATATTTAATGCCAAGTTCTTGGATGGCCGGAACAAAATTATAAACCTAATGAGTGGAGTAAAGAACTCATGTGAATTATGAATAGAAGTAATAAGAAAGATTGAAAGACAAAAGTGTTCAAATGCGCGCTCACTGTTTATGAGTGTTGACTTTATAGAAATATAATTAATTTTAGAGAGAAAATAGACAACTCTTTTATGGATAAAAATATCATTAATAATGTTATTTATAGATACTGAAATAATAACAAGCTGAGACATCGTATAGAAAATTTACTTTTACCTTAGATTTATTGTATTTTTGAATCTTTATCAATAAAATTATTCTCTAATTAAAAAAAAAGTGTGTTTTAAAAAAAAAAAATTAACACCATATCATTTATTTATCATCTCATTGATACCGAGATTTCAAGCCATGTTAATACAATAAAGCTAAATTGACATAGCAAGATTAACATCAAGTTTTAAGATAAGATGACACATTAAAATTTGAACATCAAAGTTCAAACCAAATCAATAGATTAGAGCTTCACAACTTCTTTTAAACATGTTAGAATTTTATAATTTAATAATCGTACATTTTTACAACTTTCTTAGTAAATTTGAAGAGTCTAAGCTATAAATATTTGTTAGTTTGTTTTTCAAGTTACTACTATATACTTACTTTCTTACAAATTGCAACTTTGATTATTACCTTTCTTCCAAAATTGTTCATCGTTCATATAATTGCGTTGCGTCGCACTCAATTTTATATTTTGTGACAGTAGACACATGAACAACCCAACCGACAAAAAACAAAAAGGGTAATACCGTCATTTCACACGTCCACCTCAGCTGTCGGTGAGAAGAAGCCTGGTTGTTCCTTACTTCAAAGCCAGTCTGTTCTTACTTAAACATCCGCCCCCTCCACTTTTTCCACAAACACTTTTTCCACCGTCCGATCAATCCTCCACCGTTCGATCAATCCTCCACCGTTCGATCCACAACCACATATAAACACATTCAACCACTATCAGTAAACACTTTATTATTATTATTATCACTCCATTTTCGTTTCATTCATTTTCTCATTTCTTCACATGGAGAAACAAAACGCAGTCGTTTTGTTACTCTTATTCGTTCTTCTTCTCGCCGACGCAACAACCACCGTGAACGGCGAGGATTCGAACACTAAGAAGGTACAAGTAAAATACAAGCACGGCAAAAAGTACTGTACGCAAGGTTGGGAATGTAAGGATTGGTCGATTTACTGTTGTAATTTGACGATAAGCGATTATTTTCAAACGTACCATTTCGAGAATCTGTTTTCGAAGAGGAACACTCCGGTGGCTCATGCCGTTGGGTTTTGGGATTATCATTCGTTTATTAATGCGGCTGCGCTTTTTGAGCCGCAGGGGTTTGGGACTACCGGGAATAAAACTATGCAGATGATGGAGATTGCGGCTTTTCTTGGACACGTTGGATCCAAAACCTCTTGTAAGATTTTGTTTTATTTTTAGTAATTATCTTAATTTAGTTAATTTAGTTATTAACTTGTAGGAATGTAGCGATTTACTCTATAATATTAACAAAATTTGAAAATAATTATCTTTATTTAGTTAATTAATAAAATGTTAATCAGATTTGTCTTTGGTAATTTGGGAGAGTATAATACATTTATTTCGAACGGTTAGAGATGCATTTGATAATCAGATTTGTAAAATTGTTAATTTTTTATTTTGAAGTGGAATTGAGAAGATCTTAGATCTGAGTCTACCATGTTTGTGAAGTTGGGTTAACTGAATTGTTGTGGTTTGATTGAATGGTATGCTGCAGATCTTGATTGCATATGATGGTGAGTGTGACGATGACGTCCTGACTGCTTAGCTGTAGGTTTTAAATAAAGGTCGTGATTTCAGTCGGTACGGATGTTGTGATACTAATTTTGGTCGTCCGTGTGTGAACTAACCACAATTTTTCTTTATTATAAAACCGGTGAATAGTGCGATACCGTTTTGTCGGGGTCGCTGATCGTTTTTAAAACCCAGGATTTTAAATAACGGTTGTGTAAAGGCTTTCACGAATTCGGTCTGTTCAGGTGTTGCAATTCTGATTACGGTGTGAATTAACCATAATCTTTTCTTTGTCTAAAAAACAGAGAATAACGGTATCGGTATCTTTTGATGCCGTTTTGCCGCAGCCTTTTCCCGATGATGGACCATTTTTTAAAACCTTGTAGTTATATGGTTGCTAGTGAATATGTAAAAAATTGAGTTGTTGTCTTCGTCTACTTCTTGATTTATGGTTGAAATGACATTGGCATATTTGACAGAAAGATAGAAGCATTTGTAGTCAAGAGGAGATTAAGCCGATCCCTATAGCAGGTAGTGTTATGGCCGCTACGTCTACATTGAAGTTTAGGACAACAATACAAGAAACTTATACTTTGGATCATACATGCTTAAAAGTTAAAATATAGAAGAATATACATAACTAAGACATGGTTATAAGTTCATAACTAATAATAGAAGTTTGTTACCAATATTCAAGCTTGATATAAAGTAAACGAGTTTTAGGGTAAAATGACTAAAAACAGAGCAGAGGGTGTGGATGAGTCGCGGGTATATTTGAGTATTTAAAGGAGCTTCCCTGTAGAGGCCTAGTAGCTGGTACTGAAAAGTGAAATATATTGTGATTTCATCAGTATGGCGACCACGGTTGACTACCTATATTAAAATGCGTTTAGTGAATGTTCATTATTTTGATGGATCTGAATTAGGTTTATCATTTGTATAGTAGAACTTGAATTTTGCTGAAGTGGTTGATTTGGTTGGGTTGTAACTTTGACAATTTGGATGCTTATTGTTCTTGTAATGCTGATGCCAGGTGGTTATGGAGTGGCAACTGGAGGACCTACGGCCTGGGGTCTATGTTACAATCATGAAATGAGTCCTAGCCAGACATACTGTGATGACTATTACAAATTAACATACCCCTGCACTCCTGGAGCTGAATACTACGGACGTGGAGCCATTCCTATTTACTGGTACGTATACGCCTACCACTACTAAATATTTACAATAGAAACGTTGCAATATGCCTGACCAGAGTACTAAGTAAATCTGGTCCGTTGAATGTTAATATTTAACCCAACTTGCAAGATTATTAGTTTATCAGTGATGTACAATTGATGATGTGATGAGCATAAGTAGCTTGTTTCTTCAAGTGTTTAGGCAACACTGAAGTCCCGTGAAGATTTAAACCTGAATTGCATGCACACACACTTCTATAAAAACCAGTTGTAGTTATGTGTCATTGGTATTTATTTATCAGGATTTTGAAAGAATAGCATATTTTATGACTCTGCTTATTGGTACCATGAACATAGGAACTACAATTATGGAGCTGCTGGAGAAGCTCTGAAGGTGAATCTACTTGACCATCCAGAATACATAGAGCAGAATGCAACCCTTGCATTCCAAGCTGCAATTTGGAAATGGATGACGCCCGTCAAAAAGGCACAACCCTCTGCCCACGACGCCTTCGTCGGTAACTGGAAGCCTACCAAGAACGACACAATAGAGCACCGTGTACCTGGTTTTGGCGCTACAATGAACATTCTCTATGGTGAAGGGGTTTGTGGACAGGGTGATGTTGACTCCATGAACAATATTGCTTCCCATTTCCTATATTATCTTGATCTTCTTGGTGTCGGCCGTGGAAAAGGTGGGACCCATGATGTTCTTACCTGTGCTGAGCAGCGTCCTTTCAACCCAAACACCAAAATTGCATCATCTTAAATTGGCTACATTGTTGTTGTGCCTATACCTTTGAAAATGGTAAAGCTAATAAGTTCTTAAAAGTTATTGGCAACAATGCAATAATTTTGAACTGTGTGGAAGTGTGCGAATTCTTTAATAGCTTTTCTCTGTTGTTGTGTAGAAGTCAAGTCATTTGTAATATCATTATACTTTGTGAGAAATCTGTATCTGGTATATAACTACATTATGGATGTTTTGTGAGAAATCTGTATCTCGTATATAACTACATTATGGATGTTGTGTAAATTTGAAGTTGTTTATTTCAAACAAAATCTATGTGTTTATTTGTTAGGAAGCAACAATAAAACCCTAACAAACTTAAGGAAAAACTATAAAATTATATACTAGAGAAAGATAAAACTAAACTAATAAAATAAACTTCATTGATTTCTTTGATTGATTTCAAATGACTATGTGACTACATTATATAATATTCTTAATGAATAATTAATGGATAATAAATTTAAAAGCTCAACAACTATTAAATGCTTAAATTCAATTACTAATAGCTAATAATATAAATGACTTATTAAACTATTATTCTAATTTAATTTAACTCATATTTCTACTTTCTATCATTGCTGATGGGTTTACTTGAACTTTGTCTTCAAGGTTCTAAAATCAATATGAGAATAGAGATATTGTTTCTGGATCCTATCGCTAGTTGGACGGTGCATATGAAAAAAAAAGGATCATAATGAGCATTCTGGTCACGAGGCTGCAATGCTGTTGTCAATGGATTATAAAATTGAGGAAGGAAAAAATGTCACTCATCAAAATTTTGTCTTCAAAAGTGCACCTAGCAATTCCTTCTTTGGGTTGTTCGCCCTTACTTTTTGGCTTGTTACCTATCTCTACTTTAACCTTTTGACCTGCCCCTAAACCCGGTTGACTGTTCGAATAGCCGCATCTTCAAACCGAGCTACTTCGAGATCTGAAGTGAACATATCCTTGATAAGAGTTGTTTTCTTGAATATCTTGCATGGATAACCAACCATTTTGATTTTCTTCACTATCATGTCAGCATGATTAAACTCAACGACAACTGCAGTTGCGGTAGTCCTAAAAGTTGCCTGTTTGTTTGATAAAGTCTGAACAACAATCATTCTAGTGTTGGAAGGTGCAAGAGGGCCCCAAAACATATCAAGGCAATGAATGTGTTTTGGAGTGTATTTTAGCATTCGATGTCTTCCATTGAGATCCTCAATAGCATAGACTGGTGTTGTCTGGTAACGCTTCCATCCAACAGAAACAATAATTGAACCTCTAGTTTTCAGGACTTTCTTGTGCCACCTATGCCGCTTTAACCTGACCTCGTGTATCCAACACTTTCCTCCAAATCAACACAAAAGGTCCATAATCTCAAAGATTTATGAAGTCTCATCTGAACTGGTTGATTCCCATCAGCTGCCACTTTTAGTTTAACCTTTACTGATGGCTCTAAAGTAGCCTACCTCATAAGCTCAAGTGCTCCTTCAAAATTCTTATGTTTCAACTTTAATTTAACCCACTTACATCAGACACTAGCCAGATTAACCTGCACTGCCTTGTCAAAAATAACCTGAGCATTGGCAAGATCTTCATAGCTATCAATATCTATTTGCATTCTAACATAGCCACTAGGTGTTGGCTCCCAAATTCGACACTTGCTATATTTGGACTCCTTTGACCAAACAACTGGAAATGAACTACACCAGGAGATGTAATTCGACGCATGAGATAAATTAAGGAAAGGATCCAAGGTATAATAAGAAATCTTCGACCAAATGCTCATTTGACCGAGGCAGATGCAGGTTGTTTCGACTGAAGGGAAGTGTTCGCGCCTTGGCACGTGGGACGAAGACCATTTTGAAATTTGAATTATTGGAGGGAAAGGTGGTTTTTATCAGCGTCTAAGGGAAGAAAACGTGGCAAAAGGCTATGGATCGAGAGACATGCAGGAGACACTTGTATTCATTTTAGCGCAGGATGTCCCCTCGACGGTTACCTATTTTTAGTATAAATTAAGAAGTTTGTGTAATTTTTAGTGTGTGCAACTTATAGTACAAAATCTCTCAAATATTATCCAAGTAACTACTGTGTGAGAAAGGATAAAAAGCAGAGCAATGTACGTTAGAAACACCTTTTTTACTTAATAAAAGTCTTTTCACTTTACTTTACCATTATATTGCAAAGTTATCTTTTACTTCTTTTCACTTCTTTTACTTGCATTTTTATGTTTTCATTTACTGTTCAACAATCTTAAAACATCTCTCCCCTGGGTCGAACGTGCGTTCTTCCTTCTCACTCATTTTACATAAAGATTAGCATATGTTCTGGGATTAGTTTGATCGATCCCGCAAGCAAACCAAAAACTTACCTTTTTTGGAGACCAACGGTTGCTTACCAAAAACAACGGTAAACAAATTAGCACACCTGGTGGGACGTTGCTAATTGTATATGTTATTGCGTTTTTTTTCTGTACAGTTATAACATTGCATGTTATTACGGAGTGGTAGAATAACCAACAAGTATATTGTTAGGAAAGAAAGCGGAGAGAATAGTATGTCTAATGAGCCAAACCATGGAGAGATACCTCCACCGATCACAGGAATAACAGTTACTACTGTTGTCGAAGGGACTATCCCAACTTCTGTCGGATCCATGCCAGCGTTAACCATGAATCAAACTGGACCCTTACATACGTATATGGGTCCAAGAGGTCTTTCATGAACACCCCCACCAAGGATGAACCTAGGGTCTCGATCAACTGTACCCTCAGGCTTTTCGACAACCTGGATGGGTCGAGAGCAGCCATATGGCATGCCAACTACTGAAATGGCTAGCCTTATGAATGCTGTGTCTACTTTCTCAGAACCTTTGGTAAATGCTACATCACCATTACAGGGATCTGGAGTCAGTAGAAACCAAATTTTAGGAGGGCCATCTCATATGATACCAAGTCTCACAAATTCTTCGACAGCAATTTTGAGGCAACAGATGGACGAAAGTAACCATGAAATGGTACAGATGTTAGCACAGACTCTAAGTACAATACTAAATCCCCTCATTCAGACTGCAACGCAGTCGAATCAACAGATGACAGCGCAAATAACACGCATGGCTGAGTTCTTTGGGGTGCCTCAAGTTGCTCAACTACCCCAAGTTGTTCGACAGCCCCAGAGGGTACCAATAAGATTAAATCAAGGGGTAATCATGGAAGAAGATTTGACCATTAATCAAAACCCCCAAGTTCCAAGGGTCAAAGTAGAACAACCAAGATGAGAGATACCTCGAAACCATCGAGAAATCGATCAAAGTGTTATTTTGGCAAATAGAAACCAAAATGCTGACGAATTAATACAACAAGTTCGACACCATAACTATGGGGCGGATAATAATTTAACTGCTATGATCGAGAGAATCATGCTTCAAAACGGGATGAATGTTGGCTTCCATAGACCAAACTTTACATCCCCATTGTCAGAATATATTCTGCAAACAGACTTACCACCTAGGGGAAAAGTCCCAAAATTCATTAAATTTTCGGGAGATACGACAGAATCGACTGTCGAACATGTGGCTAGGTATTTGATAGAAGCGGGAGAAATAGAAAACAATGAAAACCTTAGAATCAAATACTTCCCAAGTTAATTAACTAAAAATGCTTTTACTTGGTTCACTACCCTCCCAGCCAATTCGATCCACAACTGGAACCAATTGGAAAGATTGTTCCATGAACAATTTTACATGGGTCAAACCAAGATAAGTCTAAAAGAATTGGCTAGTGTGAAAAGAAGGTTCACTGAGCCAATTGACGAATATCTAAATAGATTTCGACTACTCAAAGCCAGATGCTTTACCCAAGTCCCTGAGCATGAATTAGTTGAAATAGCAGCAGGTGGCCTGGATTATTCAATTAGGAAAAAAGTTAGATACACAATACCTAAGAGACATGGCCCAACTTGTTGATAGGGTTCGACAAGTAGAACGCCTTAAGGCTGAAAAGGCCAAAAATACTAAAACTCTTCGACGAGAAAGGGTAGATGTGATACGGTGGGAGAACTGACTTGAGTTTTGCATTTGTTTTCGCACTTGTTCGGTTTAGCAAGAGTCGCCACCGACTTTTTATTTTATCCTAAAGGAAAGGTTAAAAAGCACAGGAAAAACCTTTTGAGATGTTTCGTGGGTTCGGGGGGTATATTATGAAAAGGGAAGGTATTAACACCCTTTTCATCCATGGTTATCCATGGGCTCTTAGTTACTTGGTTTTTAGATCACTTGCCTTGATTTTTGATTGCTTGAAATGGTGTGTGTGTGTGTGTGTGTGTGTGTGTGTGTTTTGAAAATGTTTTGAAATAGACGCCTTTGTTTCGGCAACCATTGTAACGACTCGTGTTTGAGTATATACGAAGGTGTGTATCTTTTCGAAAAGATGTTTCAAATGTTTTTGGAAGTTTGTTTTGAAAGTGTTTGTGGTTTGAAAAGTGGGCAAGTGTTTTTGCAAGTTGATCAAGTAACTAAGAGTTTGTCTACCCCTATTGTACTCAAAGGTTTTTTCTCATGTCTTAACCCTTTTTTAACAATTTTGTTCCACCATTGTATTTGGTGGACAATATTGCGTTTAGGATGTTTAACGGGACAAGCGCGGGTCATCGTATGGACCATGAATGCAATGGTGCCAAGTGTCTTTGGCAATTTGCTTGAAGGGACTATGATCATTTTGATAGGCGACTTTTGAAAGCGTCATCGAGGGACTATGATCATTTGAATTGTTTTGCCAAAGAAACTCGACGTGCAAGCATGGCCCATTTTGGAAGGCAACAAGCGGGATTACCCTAGGGGTGCAAGTGTGATTGTGTATTGATTTCATGTATTTTTCTTGTATTAGGTTATCTAGCGTTTGATTTTATGTACATGCAAACCCTAGGTCTAACCATGGTATATTTGAAAGCGGTAAATTACGGGAATTTAAAGTCTACGCTATTACAAATAAGTAT